TCCCTGCTCCAGCCAACCTGACTCTCATGGCCCTGAAACTGGCTTGCGAATTCCTCTGCAAGGGCGGCTGGTTCATCACCAAGGTTTTTCGTTCCCGGGACTACCAGCCGCTCCTCTGGATCTTCCAACAGTTCTTCCACAAGGTCCAGGCCACCAAGCCCCAAGCCTCCCGCAACGAGTCCGCTGAGATCTTTGTGGTGTGCCAGGGTGAGCAGCTGGGGAGACCTGCAACCACTGGAACGGGGTTGGGAAAAGCCTGTTGATAGTTTTGATTTCTCCATCCCAGGTTATCAGGCTCCAGACAAAATTGACAGCAAGTTCTTTGACCCAAAATATGCTTTCAAGGAGGTGGAGGTTCAGACTAAGTCTGTTAGCGAGCTTGTCAGCAAAAAGAAGCCAAAGGTATGAGCAAGGCCAAGCACACACAAATGGGATTGGGGCCAAAGAGATTCTAATAAGCAAAGTTGCTCAGAAAAATGAAAGATCTGGGGATGTGAAGTGGTAGAAGAGCCAGTTTTGGGGAAGTTTACAGCCTTAGAAGGCCATGCAGTGATAGGGAAATGGTAATAGAAGTTGGGAGGCTGGGGATGGATCGGTAAAACCCTGGCTACGGTGTTTGGCCGTTGGATTTGTGTCTCTGTGAGGTGTCTTTAGGACATAGGACCGTAAAAGCCGTGTCAGGTGGCTTCAGCTGGGCATGGAGCTGACACAAACATCTATCACTGTCACCTCTTTGCATCTGAGGTGGGACTGGGAGATGCTGTGGAGCTAGCAGGTTGGGGCTGATAACTTGTCCTTGTTCCTAAGTCGTGTGGGCACGTCTGTGTGGATGCTACAGCAAGACATGGGTTATGTGACATCATTCATCGTTTAGGGATGGTTGTGTTCTGCTGTGGCTCTTACAGGTCCTTTTTTCTGTAGGCAGAAGGCTACGCAGATGGCGACACAACCCTCTACCACCGCTTCACTCTGATGGACTTCCTCAAGGCTTCCAACCCCGTGGACTTTCTCTCCAAGGCCAACGAGGTGTGTGCCTGAAATGAGGGGGACCTTGATGGCTCCTGAGACGTCCCCAGGAGCACAGAGCAATGAAAAGAGGGAGCCAGGTGCCCCAGCAACGGCCCCATTCCTGTTCTTGAGGAGGAGAGGCAGGGCAGGAGCTGGGGCTCTGGCATAACAGCCTTTTTCCTCTGCTCTGTCCAGATCACGTTGGGGGACGGTGAGCTGGAGAATCACAGTTCCACCACAGAGGAGCTGCGTCAGTGCTGCAAGGACATCCGTGTGCTGGGACGCAAAGAGCTCAGGTACTGGAAGGGACTGGGACAGGGCATTATGCTGCGCCTGGTGGGTGTCTCTAACGGTCTGCCTCCCCGCACAGAGACCTGCT